CACTTTTTGGTTGGAATTGTCGATTTCCGAATGGGGATCTTGTAATGCTTCAAATTCTTTCTCGTTTCCTTTTTATGAATTCATTTTGCGTTGCCAAAGTAGCCTAGTATGTGATGATTTTGGTATATGGTTGCCGATTTTATTTTGATTCGTATTTTCAACATTAGTAGAAGTGTTGAACTGTTGGTTTCCCAATTGTTTGCAAAATTGTTTATAGTACTCAATTGGGTAACAAGAACATATTGTGGTTCATTAATCTGGTTTTCATTAGAAAAAATAAACGAATCAATCGGTGATGACTGAGAAAAAAAAGGAAAGTAGGTGATCATAGAGTTCTACCAGTGGTTTCAATCGGAATATTCTGAGAATATCAGGCAGACCTACTTTGTGAAACGTTTGCCAAGCCTAAAGCCAGCCAGACCTCCACTTTTCTTTTTGTTCCCTATTCGAAGGTCTTATCTTACACTTCTTTCTTCTTTTCTACCAGCGTTCAGAGCAACGAAGAAAACATCCCGTAAAATCAAAGGCGGATTAGACCCAATACTTACGCAGAGCTAATACCGGTGAATGCAGCGCGCCAGAGATGGATGTGTAAATGTAAAGGCGACAAAAGCAGAATAGAAATTCCCTTAGGGACATTTGATGTTTCTTTAGGAAAAAAGTTACTACTCTAAGCAGCCTAAACGGATTTCTACTTCTTTTCGGATATAAAGTTTAAGTGAAATCGCCGTTTGTTTCTATTGATCGATCTTATTTTTATCATGATCGGTCAAGTACAGGGCCAATAGGTACACGAACTTTGATCGGATCCTGCAGAATCTTTTCCACGCTAATCATTGCAGTATTCCAGCTAAATTTTGTCTAATATTTTTTCGGATCCCTCTTTGTGGCGTGAGGTCTTTCGATTACGCGCGGAATACTGCGTAGCACGCTAATTCATGAATGACAATTGAGCCTTTTTTTTTTTTCTTTTTTAATTTTAAATTGCTGCATGATCGAGATCAAGCTTTGTGGGTCGCTCTGGTAGCGTGATCAAAAATCCTTTTCGCTCTATCCGAATGAATGGATGAAACAAAAATCTTAAGCACCCCCTGCTTAAACGCTGCGTTCGATAAGAATGCGTTTCCGGCCGGATTCTCTGAATGGTCTTATCACACGGCTCAGTCAGGTTGAAAGATGATTGAAAACAGATTAATTGCAACAACGTCATTGGACGTTTCTGTCTGGCCTGCTCCCGCTCGTTGCCGGAACAACAGCTGGATGAGCGCGACGCGATGACAGGGGAGGCGGGTGGGTCTGAAAGAACTGTTTGTGACAGAAAAAGACCCCCCAAGAATAAAGAAAGATGATGGATGTAAGAGAGAAATATTTACAGCACAATTCGCGCCCTGTGATATCAATTAGAATTGATTGACGGAATGCAATACAGCTCTCCGCCGTAATGAAGCTCTCGCGCCGCAGATTGATAGAAATGCAATTCGATGTGCGCAAAAGAATCTGAGGTATGCGTTGCGATGGCAAGAGTGATTTGATGATCTTTCAATCTTCTTTGCATTGAATTTGTTCGCTCAACTTAGACTCCTGCTACCTCGTCATTCCTGTTCGTCGTCAGCACGAGGTATGTAACCCATGCCGTCCCTTCCTTACTGTTGTGTGCCTTGATTTCGGCTTTCCCTGGCACCGAAAGAGATAGAATCTCTTCTCTCGGAATACGGCTGAGAAATGACGCTGCAAAGTCTTCAAAAAGTCTGGAAAAGGAATTTCGCGGTCTCGATCCCAGAATGAAAATATCACGAACAGAGTCATCCTCCGTAAGCGCAAGACTCATTGACAAGTGTCAATAGCCATTCGAAAGGCGTGCAAAAGCATTCAACGGCCTATATCCCGCCTCTGTAAGCATCGTCGAAGGCTTATGTGGCCGAAGACATTTAAATGGTTTGTACTCAATTTGGCAATCTGGATGAAGTTTGCGCGTAGCGAGTCGTATAATTTCGATGATCGCTTCGCCTTGGGGTTGTCTGTTACTTGGCACGGACCTAGTCTTGAATTGCAATTTTCTGCTCTCAAAGAGTCGCTCTGGCCCAACGAAGAGCGGCTCGTAATGCCGTTGTACGGCAAAAATTTTTGAAACTGGATTTGTACCTGCGCGATCATCTTTAACATCGTCTGCTTCATTCTCATTGACCTCATCAACAACAGCATCCAGAATTGTATCATCACCATCGTTTTTCATGAAAATCTTCACTGTAGAGCTCAATCTCACCTTCTTCGAACATTCTCTCCATGGTTGTTTGCAGCGTGAAGTGTGGAAAGCGGTGAAATACTACTGGGTTGGTGATAGAGGAAGGCTGTGCGGAAATGAGTGAATTTGGTGTGCTAGTAGTGTTGTGAGAAGACTCTAACGATAATTGTACACTCTTTATATGGACTGAGTTAATTTTATATGGACTATAAAATGAATTCATAGGGAAAAACTACAAATTAGCTTGTTATTGCAGCAATCCCTTTGTTCAGATCTTGTATCCCTTTCTTTTCAAGATCAGAGTATCCAAAATGCGGAGATTGTGCCTTCGTTTCATGTTTTCACATTTTCGCATTTAATTGTCCTTCTTCACACTTTATTCTGATGTTCAGTGATCAAAAAGGAAGAGAAACAAATCCGCACAGCTGAAATATAGGACAGATCTCGGCTGTGATCTTCATACATCCTCTTCTCTAAAGACACGCGATGAAGTGCTTCGCGGAAACCATCCCTTTTGTTCCTTTTGTGAACATATGCAGCAGTGTGCGAGGTTGAGGCCACTTTCCTGCTAAAATGTCTGTATTTAGATAATGAACAAAGCAACGCGCCACCCAAATCTCATTTCAACATTTATTTCCCTTCGTAACGTTTCAAAGAACAAAGGGTTTTTAGTTAAATTTGTCTGCAAATCCCACGCGTGATTGAGTGCAATATCAAGATAAACCAATCTCTCCTTTGTCCTCGTTTCTTTTCGTTTTTTCTTGTTGTGATTTAGTTGCAAAACAACAAAAGGCAAAGTTGAGGAGCAATACAAAGCACAGATGTGCTGTTTTTTCTGCGAAACATTCTGGAGAGAGTGTCAAGATATGACCTGACTTCTCACGTGGGTGATTTCAACTGAAACCTTGCAATACACATCATCAACGATTGACAAAGGCATGCTCAAAGGT